GGCACTTCGAGGCTCAGCAACAGCGTGAACAGTTGACGCTGAGATGGCGCTGCATGTGGGCCAGGCAGCGTGCTAAGCACGTCATAGGCATGAACTCATGTAACCCTCCCAGCACCCGTTAGTAGAAACGAGTATTAACCCCATGCACCAGAAAAGGAAACTGAGGCACGGAGAGCTTGTGTTCAAGTCCATGGACAGAAGTGGAGCCGCCCGATGCAACCCAGGCAAGAAGGCTTCCGCAGGCACGTGCTCAGTGCCGTCACTGGTGGGTCCCTGGTTCTGTTCCGAGCCCCACCGTCGTGAAGGGAGACTCAGGAGAGGGTCAGCGGGCACCGCCAGCCCCATCGGCTCCGGAGCCCGATCCTGGCCCGCCCCACAGGGACTGGGCATGGCAGACTCAGCCAGACGCACACACCCGGTCCCAGGGCGGCAGCTCAGAGGGCTAGACCCACGCTGTTACCTCTATCTGCGCACTCGCTCAGCACTCTTTAAGGGCTTTTTTTAGGAGGCAAAGTGCCAACAATATTTCAGTGCCGGTGGCATGCCAGTGCCCCGGCCGTCAGTGATGACATCCCAGCACAGGAGTGCGCGGCTGTCCAGGACCGCGGTGGGGCTGGAGGCTCGAGGAGCAGAAGGCTGGGAGGGCCCTCGAATTGTGCGCGAACCCTCTGGGCATCCGAGTCCGCACAAACTTGAGGGCCTTTGCTAATGAGTGGAGCTGTGCCAGCCGCGCCTGGACGGTCACCAGAACCACCCACGGCCGCGCCTTCAGCTGCAGCCCGCACACAGTGCCCACACCCCAGGCTGCGGTGGAAGCGAAGGACCAGGGAGGAGCGCAGAGTCCCCAAGTGCCCACCCTGCGGAGGAAATGGTCCCGGCGCCTTTTCCTGACAAACGGGGCGCGCGCAGCCGGGACCGCGCAGGGAGCAGGTCGTTGGATGAAAGCAGCGCGCGTAGCAGCAAGCCGTGTTGACCAAGTGTCCCGCGCAGGGTCTGGAAGCGGGGGGT